GGGCTCCAGTGATCATGAGCTAATTCGGTTTAAACTAAATAAAAGGAGTAACAGAATTAAATCAAAGACTAGGGTTTATAATTTTAAAAGGCTAATTTTAACAAACTAAGAGGACTGGTAAGGGAAGTGGATTGGGAAAACGTATTAATGGATCTAAAGGCAGATGAGGCCTGGGATTACTTTAAGTTAAAGCTGCATGAGCTGTCGGAGGCCTGTATCCCAAAAAAGGGAAAAAGGTTAGTGAGCAAGAGATTTAGACCGAGCTGGATGAGCGACAGTCTCAAAGGGGCGATTAGGAAAAAACAGAAAGCGTACAAAGAGTGGAAGAGGGGAGGGATCAGTAAGGAAACTTACCTTAGTGAGGTCAGAGAATGTAGAGATAGAGTGAGAAAGGCCAAAAGCCGTGTAGAGTTGGACCTCGCGAGGGGAATTAAAAGCAATAGTAAGAGATTCTACAGCCATATAAATAGGAAGAAAGCAAAGAAAGAAGAAGTGGGACCTCTGAAGACTATAGCCAGAGAGGAGATCAAGGATAATCTAGGCATGGCACAATATCTCAACGAATATTTTGCGTCGGTGTTTAATGAGACCAATGAAGGGATTAGGAATACTAGCAGAGTGACAGAGGGGGATACAGGAGGGGAGATTACTGTATCCAAGGTAGAAACCAAACTTGAACACCTTAATGGGGCTAAGTCGGGCGGACCGGACGATCTTCATCCAAGAATATTGAAGGAATTGGCGCGGGAAATAGCAGGCCCCTTAGCGATAATTTTTAATGAATCTGTAAACTCGGGGGTGGTTCTGTTAGACTGGAGAATAGCTAATGTGGTTCCTATTTTCAAGAAAGGGAAAAAAAGTGACCCGGGTAACTATAGGCCTGTTAGTTTAACATCTGTAGTGTGCAAGGTGCTGGAAAAAATTCTGAAAGAGAAAGTAGTTGAGGACCTTGAGGTTAAGGGCAATTGCGACAAATTACAACATGGTTTTACGAAGGGCAGATCGTGCCAAACCAATCTGATCTCCTTCTTCAAGAAAGTAACGGACTTATTAGATAAGGGAAATGCAGTGGACCTAATATACCTTGATTTCAGTAAAGCGTTTGATACTGTACTGCATGAGGAATTATTGGTTAAACTGGAAAAGATGGGGATTGATATGAAAATCCAGAGGTGGATAAGGAATTGGTTAATGGGGAGAATGCAGCGGGTCATGTTGAAGGGTGAACTGTCAGGTTGGAGGGAGGTCACCAGTGGAGTTCCTCAAGGTTCGGTTTTGGGACCCATTTTATTTAATCTATTTATTACTGACCTCGGAACCGATTGTAGGAGTGGGCTGATAAAATTTGCGGATGACACAAAGCTGGGAGGCATTGCCAATTCGGAGGAGGATAGGGATATTCTGCAGGGAGACTTGAATGAGCTTGTGAATTGGAGTATCAGAAATAGGATGAAATTTAATAGTGAAAAGTTTAAGGTGATGCATTTAGGGATGACTAACAGCAATTTTAGTTACAAGCTGGGGATGCATCGGTCAGAAGTGACAGAGGAGGAGAAAGACCTCGGGGTCTTGGTAGACCGTAGGATGACTATGAGTCGACAATGTGACGTAGCAGTGAAAAAAGCCAATGCGGTCTTGGGATGCATTAGGCGAGGTATATCTAGTAGGGATAAGGAGGTCCTGCTTCCGTTGTATAAGGCGCTGGTGAGACCTCATTTGGAGTACTGTGTGCAGTTCTGGTCTCCCATGTTTAAAAAAGATGAACTCAAACTGGAACGGGTGCAGAGAAGGGCGACTAGGATGATCAGAGGAATGGAAAACCTGTCATATGAAAAGAGACTAGAGGAGCTTGGGCTGTTTAGTCTGACAAAGCGAAGGCTGAGGGGGGATATGATTGCTCTCTTTAAATATATCAGAGGGATAAATACCAGGGAGGGAGAGGAACTGTTCCAGCTCAGTACTAATGTGGACACGAGAACGAACGGATATAAACTGGCCGTGGGGAAGTTTAGGCTTGAAATAAGACGAAGATTTCTGACGGTCAGAGGGGTGAAATATTGGAACAGCCTTCCGAGGGAAACAGTGGGGGCGAAGGACCTGTCTGGTTTCAAGATTAAGTTAGATAAGTTTATGGAGGGAATGGTTTAATGGAAAAACATGATTTTAGCTAAGGAATACCGTGCCTTGGGCAGGTAAAATAGTATAATGGCCAACGAGGGGTCAGGCTGGAGACTCTTGTCTACATGCTCGGGGTTTTACTGATCGCCATTATTTGGGGTCGGGAAGGAATTTTCCTCCAGGGTAGATTGGCAGAGGCCCTGGAGGTTTTTCGCCTTCCTCCGCAGCATGGGGCAGGGATCACTAGCAGGAGGGTTCTCTGCCAATTGAAGTCACTAAGCCACAGGATTTGGGGACTTCAACAGCAGAGTCAAGGGACAGGGTAGGGACGGCTTTATGGCCTGCAACATGCAGGGGGTCAGACTAGATGATCATAATGGTCCCTTCTGACCTTAAAGTCTATGAGTCTATGAGGCAGGCGTTTCACAGAGGTGGGGGATGAGTAAGTATGTGGGGAGTGGCAGGTGGGGGGGTCTCAGGGGGTGAGGAGGGACATGGCAGGCAGGGCCTCTGAATGAGATACCCATGTGGAAAGTTGGGGGTAGTTAATTCAGATAGGAAAGCAAGATGTGATATGGATAGTATCAGAAACCACCACTGAAAGCTAAACCCAATGGCTAAATCTGACAGACAGCTGTTTTTCATACAACCCCTGGCAAGGAGCTATGAAAATTTTGGGGGCTGGGGACAGGGCCCTGGTTCCAAACATATTTGTGGGCCCCCCCATGTAGTCATAGGTTCGAGTGTGGGCCTGGTGTGGCAGTGCCATTGGTGCCATAGTAAGTATACCCGGTATTGAATCTCAGAGACATTTTTCATTTTGATCACACACCTCTGCACGACTATATGCATTGCCATACACAGCTCCCTCAGCCCCCAGTTTTTCTCATGGAGCTGTACACCCATGTGGGTTTACCAGTGTCCACAGTGAGCAGAACTTTCAATGATCAGGGGAAATTCCCCACAGATTTATCTCCTTCCTTATTCAGACCTTCTATAGCCATGTCTCCAGTACCCTC